TCTATAATTCACCATGAATTATTCGATTCTAATAAAAATTTGGATGTGGTTTTCGGATTTTCCTGATCCCGTTGAATGTGTTCTTAACTGTGCCTAATTATTCACTGTATACATAGAAGAGAACAGCAAAACTGGATTTTATACGTATATAACTTAATGTCAGTCAGAATCAGACCATGATTTGGTGGTTTAGTCAATTTCAAAACCTAATCTCTGTTTTGTATTCGAATGAAGACGTTCAAGCGGATAGCACAAGGTTTCTGTTGTCCTGCAATAGTTTTGATCGATTTAAGTCTTTTCTTTTTGTCCAGTCAGCTCACTGGTTTAAAACCGAGTTCAGTTCATTTAGAACAACAGTATGCTTTGTGAATAACCTTATCATGATATATTCTACTATAACTTTAGTTTAACGAACATGCCCTCCAACAGTTTTAGATTTTATTCCTCCCGATACTTAGGAGCATGCATGTGGTAGACGAACTCTACGGGACATTTCAAGTATCACGTGATTTTTGCTAAGCTTGAAATCAGCTATTTCTTACTCAGTTGTGACCAAGATACAAACAAAATTAAATTGTTGTTGGGGTTGTCGTTACAACACTTAGCAGAAATCATTGGCAATGAACGACTAGTGGAAAAACCCGAAACCTGATTATTTTATTCGCCCCACAGTGTAAACATGAATGTATAGTTCTGTCTTCTCGAACCTCATAAATGCGTTCCGTTCAGTTTTCAAACTCCAACTTTTGTCACTACTATTTTATAAAATTTTTGGATCATCGGTACTCACCCTATAAGTTTCACACAGAGTTGAAAAGGAGGTTAACATTTCTGTATATTTTTTCGGGATACATGGATACATGTAAGCATCTAACCACAAATTTTTGTGTGACAAAATTTGGTCCAATAAACGGGCATTTGTCACAAATGAAATAGGTCTGGATTTTTCCTATTGAAAGCGATCAGAAACGTACAAAATATTTCATAGTTTATGCAATCAGAGCAAACCGTAGAAAAATGAATGCTGTCCGACGCATATTTCCGAAGTCTTCCCGAACTCTGAATATCACACAGATTCACCAATTCAAATATATTGAAGCTGAAATAAAAGCACTCATTAAATGATCTTGAATTATTTCGCCCTTAATTCCCAGACAGGCTACATTCGTATAAATACCACATAAGCCGGCTGCTTAGGAGAAAATTTCAGTTTTTGTAAAATACAGTCTCCATCCAAAGCACGATCTCACTTTGCTAGATGAATCTTCTGTGTTAAACTGTTTCAAAAGAAGGAACAAAATTTTAAGAGATGTTGCTGTTCATTGTTTACCCTGATTCCCAACCCAATTATTCGCTGTAGATTGGGAATCCTTCTAGTGGGAGAGAAATGAATTTTACGGTATTATGAAGCCAAAATTGAGGAGGTATAAACAATGATTTTTATTGAGAATTTCCGGTTTTTTTTGTTTGAATTTCATAACCTATTTGATCGCGTGGTACCTGATGAAAATAGTGTCTTTGACCCAACTCTATGTTGATAATCTATAATTTGCGGCCATAATCAATCCATTTCATACACATGACGATACGAAGTTATTCCAAGATGTTTGTATCTAGCGTCTTAATGGAAGAATTTTAGATTAGATAATAAATTCCGCGGGAAATAATACAGAGTATTTCGATCAGGTTTAACTTTGCACTACTGGTATATATATATATATATATATCAACAGCGATAGATGTCGCCTTATAGTTGATCAGATTTTGAATTAATAAAAATGTACATTGAGATCTGTGCCAGTTTAATCCATTCAAAAAGAAATATTGGCGAAAACAATTTCATGGCCTGTTGAACACGATACAATGATTTGAAGTCACACAGAAAACACATTTGTTGAGATTTAAAAAAGGAGTGTAAAAGCGGATGCGCCTTCGCATCCTAGTCCAGATGCATTTACCAGTCGCAATCTCCTTGAATGACTACTGAACGTAACACTTACTGTTTGTTCTATTGCACTGCATACTGGTGAATGTCTGTCGGATCGGATGTGCAGCTCAACTGGTATAGAAAATGGAAAGAAATCGCTCGTAGAATACACCTATCTATTTGCACCGGGAGCGGTAGCTTACCGCGTAGAGTATGCTCCAGTTTTCAAAAAGTTTGATTGCCAAACCTGGCCTGTATTTGATTTTTAACCTGTTGTTGGGCGCCAATCATGGTGGAGAAATTTAGCAATCCAAAATGATTAACCAGACTCATCAAAGAGAACATCACCGAGGGCAGATTCGTCGACAACTAGATCCAGACCTGACAGTTGCCTGTGTCTTTCTTTACACTGTATTTGTGGATATTCAGGCCCAGGGCGGTTGGCGTTTAATTGGTCCTTTAACTTATCCACACACTAATCTACCATGATTTTTTTCAGAACAGTAATTTTTCCTACAATCGTAACAACAAAAGCTTTTTACTGGGTGACAATGGGAAGGGGTCAGAGATTATGAAACAAATCCAAATGTGCCTTTTGAACAACTTTAATTATCTTGATCATCATCGTCAGCACCGGTTTATTTGCAAAACCACAAAAGTTATGGGGGTTTAATCGGAAAACCACTGATTTACAACTAATAATGAAGTGTTTTGAAATATTTTGATAACTGACTAATTATCAGCTAATCTGAATACCCCGCAAAACGCCAGGAGAAAAATAGAAATTACAAAGAAGTTATTTCCTGTATCAAACCGCAAGGTAGAATTTGAGAACTTTTAAAACACTTTTCATTGAACAAAGTAAGGAAAGTGCTGCGTAGTTAATTTTATTTCTATTATAATAAATCCTCATAAATATCCATTCTCCAGCATATTCTGAGAGAACAGTTATTGGCAGTCTGATTGGTACCCGAAGCCAACAATTTCGGACATTATTAGTTTTACTGGAAGCTGAGGTTGAAACGTTTACCCGAATATTCTAGTATTCACAGGGGTAAATTTTAATAGTAGTTCTATCTATAAGAATTTGTCAGTCCGCTTTTAACTAGGCAATGGATTATTAAGCTCATTTCATTTGTTCTTATCTTGAGAGAGAGAACTTTTGGATTTTGGATAATAAAAAATTTGTGATCCTCGTGTATTTCCCACTGCAAATCTTGTCAATTAGGGTCTTAATGATCGCAGCTATTCGCTTACTCCTAAGCTGTTCACCTATGGTTTCCATACCGCAAACAGATACAAAGGCCATCACTTAGTCACTCGTATAAACCAATATCTCGATTCAACAGTACTCTATTTGGCTCGTAGTATAACTGTCAAGAAGGTCATTCACAGTATCACTGGAAATCCACACAGATGCGTTTAGCGTTTCTTCATGTCTGTACATGACACATTTTGTGACTCTCATCAACTCACAATTTTTAAAATGGCACTGCGTGCTCCAGACACATTTTTGGTTTACTTCCCTAATTGCTGACAAAACTGCCTATTGATTGCAATACTTGGAGTAACTGGGCTGTAAAGTCATTTTAAAATAAAATAAAATGTTCATCCTAAGTCACTAGGCAGTTGATATTGAGTTTGTATAATATATTATTTAACTAGTCACTAAATAGTGGAAGGGATAATAACCTCAAGCGATAAATCATAAATAACCAATTTGGAGTTACTGGTGGTTGTGGATATTGTCCAGTTGAAAAACTTATTAGCAAAATATTGGACAAAATTAAACCTCTTAAAGGAGGAATAAATCTCCTTATACTGCTTTAATTCAATTATTAACTTTATCGTCACTCTTAAGCACAATCGCGGAGTCATTATGGAATAGGCCTGATCTATGGGACTGAGACTGTTCTTAAATAAGCTCGAGTATAATTTTGAATGTGGTCTTCTTTGAGACAGAATACAGTGAAGCCTTCAGCTTTTGCTCGTATTGTGAGGTTCCAAATAATAGAGACCTGTTTTATCAAACAGGTGGTTATTCATTAGATACTAGATAGTAGCACTTTTCATTGAGTACAAATGAAAAATGGGATTGGATGACACCATATATTTTGAACCACCGCAAACGTTAACAGTGAGTTAGCGATAGCTTACGCTAGGTATTTTAGCAAAATAGTTCAAGCTTGAATGCATATATAAGTGCTATGAAAACAGGATAAGAGAAGAAAGTTATAATTTGCTGTTAAAGTAGTTTCATTCAAAGAACCCTAATTATTAGAAGATATTTGTATAATTTGCTGGTTACTTGATAGTACCAGTTCGTAAAGAAAGGCCTCTTATTCTGAAAAGGTAAAATGAATCTCTATCTAGCCATTGTATTAAATAGATGTATAGAATAAGCTGCGGTGACTAATACTTATGGGAACTTTTGGATTTTGAAAGACTGCAATACAGTATGGAAACCCTGTTTAGAAAGGTCAGAAATTCACAGATGTGGTTTTTGACTGAACCTGTTCTGCTGTCAGTAACGTTAATGCTTGGTAAAGTTGATAACGTTTATCGCAAAGAAAGCTATCAAAAGGCTTAAGTGATAAAATGAGACATGAAAAGAAAAATATCGCTACAAAACCACGAAAATAACGTTTACACAAACCATCAGGGAATGAGATGGGAGTAAATCGGGTGAAATTAAAATTTACGGATAAAATTTAAATAAAATTCAACATTTTTAAATGTCACCTATTTTATTTAACATGTTTGATTGTAAACTTAATTATTTTACTCGAGATATCGAGGCCATTATTTTATCATTTTATTTTTTAGAGACAATTTTTCTTTTGCGAACATTAAAAGTAAGTAACCCCACAGCCATAAGGTCAAACACTTTACTCACGAAAACCAAGTAACCTAAGCTAAGCGACTTACAGTAACGCTCCACGAAGCAGCTTACCACCGTTGTAATATTTTATGTTGCTCTAATACTATCTATGAATACCTCACAAAGGACGAAAATAAAAATACTGAAGTATCTGTTTAAGTTATAAATCGAAATATATTTCTATACGTACTCCCAAAATAATAATAAAATCAGCCGTATGGTCTCTTTTTTACAGAAAATTCCAATGAGCTTTTAGTCTTCAGAAGGAGTATCATTTGAGCGAAGTTTCATGAACAGCTAAAATCCAAATTAAGGAATGACTGTTCCTTTCAAACTAAGAACCATTTTACCAGGCCTTTGAAGTTTAAACCGTTTAGTATAAAGTTTGCTTCTTATTAGATACTTACGTTAATTTCAATGGGTTGAAAATCCGGTGCAACTCTGTTTTCTTCTTCACTGGTTCCACGAAAGTTCGATTTTTTAACTTGTGATCCTTCACAGTTATCGTTGTTTACGCTATTATTCGCAGAAGAGGAAAATGACTTCTTCAGTCTTTTTGCCTTAAAATAGGATTTTCGACGAAGGGGCAAACCATTTCTTCCACCACAGGCCAAATAGTTGTTTTCCATGGATGATATTGGCTCAGAAAGATGCGAGGAGTTCAAAGAAGCTTGATCTTTTAAAGACCTTGGGGAGAACTCAAACTTATCAGATGAAGGAGAGAGGTTATAATCTGTTGAGCTGGTGTGGGATGACAATCCGTTATATTCCGAATGTGTAGCAAGTTCCGTGCTTGTGTTGTTAAAGAGTCTAGAGAGGAAATGTGCATTCCCTTTTTCAATTTTATCATTTGGCTCACTGCATGATGGCACGCTTGGTGCTCTCAAGTTAGAGTTCAAAGGGATATTTTGGAAAGACTTTTCTGTCTTTGTAAGATCCACTGGACATGCATTAAGTTTCAAGTCCGAGGATGAGTCGTTTTCACATTTGATTGAAGCTTCATCCTTTTTCCAGTCTGTGCACAATGATCCACCGTTAAAAGTATCTTGAAAATTTCTTTGTACGTTTGAAATGACAGCTCCCAGTCCCGGACTCGAAGAGTTTATACTAGAAAATGCGTTTGATGTCTGATTCCATCCAACACGAGGAGAGACCATCGTGGGAAATCTATTTGAAATGCAACCATCAATATTTTCTGATGAGCATGCTTCAGATACAGGTGCAGGTGCACTTTGAAGCAGATTTAAATATATATCTACGGCTTGCTGCAATGCGAAAGCCTTTTCAATCAAGCTTCTGTAACACAATAGCATGGCTTCATAATTCTCGTATCCCGACTTAGGAATGGGAATGTTGTTGATGCACGTATTGAGTGCACCCAATATGGACTGCTTCCATGGTTCATTTTGACAATGCCCAAAACGAACTGTGCTTGTTTTGAGAGGTGGGCAAGAACCTGTGATTCCGTCTAAGACCGAGAAATCCTGTCCGCAGTTGGTCTTAGGACCTTGGTGACAATTGTCACCAAGAGCACACGTAAATGTCGGGGGTACAATAGGAGGAAACATAGGGGGCACAAAAGTCGCTGGTCCTTGTGAAACGCTGATATCAGGGATCTTAGTGTCCGGAAAGCGCCCGGCCAGTTTATTCAGCGAAGTGACACTTGGTGCATCCTTTTGGTCAGATTGCATGTGATATTTCATCAAAAGATAATTCAGAAGAATCGTATACATGCGGTTTTGTTCCACTGAGAGACTGTTGGCCATTGATGCACCTTCAGTATTTTTATCACCCATCTGTTCATTCGAGTGGTTGGGAATGGAATCACGTTTCATCAAATTAATGGGTTCATCGTGTTCCATAGACTCATGTCCAGAACTTTGTGCGTCTTCCATTTCATCCTCTGATAGTTCTCGCTTCTGTGGCAAATTGGTCTTTCTTTTTCGTTTGTTTGTGTGGTAATACAGCTTTGAATCAGAAATTCCGTATGTTTCCTCTACGAATTTATCATTGTAGTTGGTTAATTCATGAACAGCATGAAGAATGTCACTCCGAGGCATTGCAATTTCAAAGACTGAAAATAAGCGATGGAACTCCACTATTTTAGGAATCAGTCAATTTTGATAACAATATTTGTCAAAGTTACAGATTCAAAAGTGTGACTGAATAATTGTTGAATTTAACCTTGAACTTGACTGATAAAAACAAGTCAGTTCAGTTCAGTTTACGAGAACCGGAAATGGCCGCAGCCAATCGAACGTCCAGAGTTATTTTGGTGGTATGCACATGTCTGGCACCCACCACTATATCGAGTAATCCGTCAGTTCTCCTGCTAAACAAGAACAGAAAGGACAACTCATCTCACCTGTTCGGCGAGAGACTTAAGGGTACATGAGTGTTCAGCAGGTGCCATAGTGGGAGAGCTAGATCACTGCTCAACCCAGAACCTACTTCGTCCAACCTTTGATCAAGGGTTAGCTTGAAGGTTTGAACCGAAGGTAGTTCTGGCAGTCGGTTCCATAGGTTTACTGCCCGATTACCGAAGAAGTGTGATCTTGCTACTATCCTGGATCAATATTTTCTTAGTTTCTAAGAGAGACCCATTGTTCTCGAATAGAGGTCTTCTTGAAAAAGGTTCTCCTGGTCTATACCTGGTAAACTCTTCATTATTTTGAAGTTTTCCACCAGGTCACTCCAGGTCAGGTCAGGTCAGGTCCCAGTCCAGTCCAGTCCAGTCCAGTCCAGTCCAGTCCAGTCCAGTCTTCACACGACGAATAATGGTCCTTGCCAATCGAGCGTCCAGATTATTGTGTTTTCGGCGGGTGTTCTTGGCTCCCAACACTGCGTTT